GAGAAGAAAGACTGTTCGTTCGACGATGGCCACTTGGGAGAATCGTCATTCACCGCGGACATCTTGGAGGCTCCAATCCCTCCGAAATTCAAGACTCCCGCCATAAAGCCCTATGACGGGTCTAAGGACCCTAAAGACTATGTTGAGGTCTTCGAGGGCCTCATGGACTTTCAAGCAGCGACAGATGCGATCAAGTGCCGCGCCTTCCAGATCGCGCTTACCGGCAGCGCGTGCCTTTGGTACCGAAGACTGTCGGCCAGGTCGATCTCGACCTACTCCCAGCTAAGGAAGGAGTTCATCAGTCAGTTCTCCTCTAGGCATTATGACAGAAAGACAGCGACTCACCTTGCCACCATCAGGCAAAAAGAAGGAGAGACGCTGAGAGAGTATGTCACACGGTTCCAGGAGGAGCAGCTTAAGGTGGCGCACTGCTCCGATGATTCGACCATGTGCTACTTCCTCACCGGCTTGGCCGATGAGACCTTGACGGTAAAGCTTGGAGAAGAGGCTCCAGCCACCTTCGCTGAAGTATTGCAGAAAGCGAAAAAGTCATTGATGGACAGGAGCTACTTCGAACCAAGACTGGCCGACCTGAGAAGCAGATCGATCAGAAAAAAATTAGCCAGGAGAAGAGGAGGATTGATGTCAGGTCCAAAGATAAGGGATCATCCTCCTCCAATAGCAGAACAGAGTACGTAGGTTGGAGAGCGGCCCTCCCCGGAGCCGACCTTATGAACGGTACACTCCAACCACCATCCTCATCTCCGAGATACTCACGAACATCGAGGAAAGCGGGATGGAAAAGCTCCTCAAGCGACCTGAGAAGCTCCGAGGAGACCCAGAAAAACGCAACAAAGATAAGTATTGTCGTTTTCATCGCAGTCACGGCCACAATACGACATGTTGCTGGGAGTTGAAGCGCCAGATTGAAGACCTCATTCAAGACGGCTACTTCAAAAAATTCGTGGGCAAACCGAGGTCTAACTCGGTCGAAAAAAAGGAAGAGAGGAAGCGTTCAAGAACGCCGTCTCGACGAGAGGACTGACCTGCGGTCATCAATACTATTTTTGGAGGTCCGAACGGGGGCCAGTTCGGAAACAAGAGAAAGAAGCTAACTCGGGAGGCCAGGCGCGAAGTATGCATCATCAGGGAGCAGAAGCCCACCTGCTCCATCACTTTTGGTGACGCCGACCTAGAGGTGGTCCACTTGTCTCACAACGATGCACTGGTGATCGCCCCTCTGATTGATCACGTCCTGGTCCGAAGAGTATTGGTTGATGGAGGTGCATCTGCCAACATCTTGTCCCTCCCAACATATCTAGCATTGGGATGAACTAGGTCACAATTGAAGAGGAGTCCAACACCCTTGGCTGGATTCTCTGGAGAATCGGTCTCGCCTGAAGGGTGCATCGACCTGCCGATAACTATCGGG